TCTTTTCCATATGGGTATACAGTATGATGCATTACTGTAGATTAAGCAGAATGCCAATTATTTGAGCTCAACATGTGCAGCAGTATTATTGATTCATTTAATAGTGATGGGAAACATTTTCTTAGCAGAGTGATTACTTTTATTTTTAATACTTTATATACAATTTGATAATAAATCAAAGTTTTATGTGTAAGTATGTATTTTATAATGCTATATTGATACTAATGATAAATGTAATAATATTTTACAATTCTTCGGCTAGGAAGTACTGCAGAAAGAGATGCCCACGAACAGTACAGCAAGAGGCACAAAGATGAAATCATGAAAAACAATCATAAAATAATGAAAGGCAGAACAAAATCATAAAATGGCATGCTGTCAACTGGCAGTTTGTATTGTTGACGTGTGTCAGATTTATTTTCTTTTTCTAAAAGGGGTGGTCACCGTTTGTGTTTGTCATTTTGTAAAACTCACTGTGCAACAGGGCAGGGCAATATGGCCAAAAATATTTATCACAATATACATTTGAAATTTTGCAATAACAATTTAACTGATGATATAATTGACACAAGACAAAACACTTTACAACTCCACAACTTTATTAGTGCAAAAGAAAAAAAAAAACATCAATGTATTTTCACTTGAAGAAGCAGCTGTTTTATGTGCATTAAAGCTATATAAATATTTAACAGTGCAAATGCAAATTCCCTGCTGACAGTTTAACCAAAAGGCATTTCCAGTGGAAATTGGCCGACACATCCTCAGCAAAACCATGTATAATATCCACAAAACTTAAAAAGAGGTTATAGACACACAATACAGTAATATTATGTTGAAGCACAGTACGTATCACTCAGCGACCCTCCTGCCTACGATAGCCATAATGCTCCGATAATCCATCAAGCAGTGCGGCTTCATAGCTTCCCAAAGTCCTATTAAAACTAGTGCTGACAGCGTCAACTTCGTTAAAATGACGTTAACACGGTTATAGCGGTAACGCGGCAAATCTCCGTTAGCGAGTTAACAGAGATGTGGGGCTGGACGGCACTAACGCATTGACGGTTATTCGGCCCACTTGCATGTTTTTCCAAAAATTGTGCTTTGGTGTGTATCTGATGGACGAAAACCAAACCAGTTCCACACCACTGAAGTTGCAGCATTTTTACAAACCAATTCTGGTTCATCTGTTTCATTCAATGATCCGCTTCCGCCCTTCTCATTCTCCGTCACCGCCATGCTTTTTCCGTCATGTGCGTATGAAAACAAAGGCACTGCGCATGCGCGTTTTACTCATGTTCTATAGCGATATTTCATTTTCTTATTGTTGACCTACATTATACCGGTATTACCTTGAACGGTATGATACGGCCCAGCCCTACTGCACAACACTGCTAAAATTTCAAAATACACAAAATTCAGAAAAAAGTCACCCTCAAAAACTACCAGCTCTATTTGTCCAAATGCTGATCCCTTTCTAACGTCTTCCATCTACAATAAACTTAATTAATAATAAACTAAAAACAGTAAACTAATAAAACATTGAGCATGTTTAAGCTGACTTCCCAGAAGGGCAAAAAGTCTAATTGTTATTGACAATCCATGTAAACCCCACAGAATAACTAATCTATAATGACGTCAAGTTGTTCAGTAGCCAACAGGTTTGCTGGTGCGGGAACAATAGTCACCATGTGTAGTTTTTACAGTGGCGAGC